TTTATTGAGCTCAAAAGTGAATAGAGTTTGAATTCACACGCGATTGGATCGAGTTCCATAGAAGACGAGTGTTTTTATGGTCAAAATAGATAAGTAACTTGTTAGAATGTTGTGATGTGCTTGAACTGAAATAGGATTTTGAGATTATTTATTATCCTCCTCTGATTTGACTGTCTGGAGGTAATATTATCTTCCATATTTCTGGTATTTCCCTTGAGTTATTCCTGTTGCACGTGTAGGGTGTGTGTAGATTCTGTGAACAAGGATTCCGTAATCAACCTCTATCTCCACCTACCTAGATTACTTTTTATAATTTTAACCGTCTTCCACCATGCTATTGTGTGTTTGTGTGTTAATCATGCAGTGCGATTTCTGAGCTTTTTTTCTAAATTACTTATCTTCTCGGGGTCAACCATTCTTACCTTAGCTAAATTCTTATGTTCTGATAATCTGATTAACCCCGACCTACTAGTTTAACCCATGTAGTTGACCTCGCTCACAGTCATTGCATGGTATTTCATAAATTATATTATTTTGTCTAATTGAGTCAACCGACAGAGTCCTTTAGCCTACACAGCTTGTCCTAACTGAGTGAGTTTGTTGGTTTGAATGCCCCCACCCTAATTCCTGCTTCCTTAATAATCCTACGTAAGGTCTCAGATGTCCCCTCCCTACTCATATGGTATAACAATGGATGCCTTATATTCTTTCTTATTTATGTTATCATTATTAGTTTCACAGTTATTTTTATTTTGTTTTTGACCTTTACTGATATTCCTAATGAATTTTATAGGATAATTATTCAACACCAAAGCCTTTTCTATCTGTTTTGTTTCATCAATTAGGTTTTTCTCAGTGCTACTTAGTTCTACTGCTTGGTTTGTTAAGCAGTGCTTAACAAACGCGTTCCATACGTTGAATGATCTTTGAGGTCACAATGTAACCTGGGAGTCTTAGGTTAGAACCCCGACGATGGGTGTGTATTACTGAAGATTCCACAAATGGGACAAAGTGCCTGTTCAGTAATTTCTGGTTTTTAGTGATACTCTGAGTGATATTGATCCGTGATCAAACGCGAGAATATTAATCTGATGGTCGATACTGACTGGCTACAAGGCATACTTGCCTGGAGTTCTAGAGAAACGTCATGATCAGGGGGCGTCCACCAGGTTTGAGTGTGAGGCCAATTAGTTTCAGAAGACATTGACTGGTGGTCACACTAAAATCAAGAATTGGCAAGGTTAGAATTGAGCGGCCACTTGGATCGAGTTCTAAAAGGCTCACCTTATGACTGGAAGGTCCTTGGTTCCCTTGTTTTATCTCTACTAAAAAAACTTCAATAAAATAATGCCGAATAGGTGGTATGTAATTGTTTGAAGGGTTGCCTGAATTGCCGGGTTTATCAATTTGGTTGTTGTTCATTGTAATTTGTCCTCATAAAAACAAGAACACGAGGTCAGTACTCATCAGGGATACCCTCCACACGTTCAGGCTGAGTTATTCAGACAGACATTCCTGGTCTGTTTATTGGACTTCTTATCATGTAGAATCTTTTGGAATCCGAAGTTATTCAGAACACAGTATATGCTGTCATGTCAAAATGTCGTGCTTGCTAGCCAGCTCCGATCGTTTGGAGTTGAACTCGTCAGTTTAGTGTACTCCGGATTAACTCATCTGAGAGAAGTCAATCATATGAACCGCATGTTTTCTAGTTAGCTACATGGGGAACCTGAAAGAAACAACCTCCTTTACCTAACTACCTACCTGGGAAGCATCGTTTCAACTACATGCGGACGGAACTGACGAGGATATCAAAGAAGCGAGGATCGGGAAAGTAAGACAAGCCTTCATTACTCTCAAGTCTGTGTGGATATCAACACTACTCAGTAATCAGCATGAAAAATAAGATCCGGATTTTCTACTCAAATGTGAAGTCAGTCAGTGCTACTATACGGATCAGAGACTTGGCGCGTCATGACGAGCACCTCAAACAAACTACAGACCTTCATCAACAGCAACAGGGAACTCTAGGAGCAAACCAACCAGGAACCAATTGTGTGACAAATATGCAGGAAGAAATGGAGATGGATTGGCTGGTTGTACTCTAAGGAAACAAACCATCAAGTGACATCACTAGACAAGTCAGTGCTCGATTGGGACCCGAAAGGGAAGCGGCGAGTTGGTCGTCAGTGCAAGGGTGACTTGGAGGAGATCCTGTCAGGAGGAGATGAAAGCATGTGGTCAGACTTGGAGTGGGGTGAAAAAGTTGGCAGAGAACCGAACGCAATGGAAACGTGCAGTTGAAGCACTATGTTCCTCTAGGAATTAAATAAATTATAATAATAGATGGAGTAACTGGTTATACATAAAATTGGATTTAAATTGACCATTTTAACAGCTTCTTGTGGGAACCAAATTTTATGATTTTTTGATCAAAAATCTTTGAAAAATTAGTAGATAATTTTAAAACTTGAGTAATTATGATAGAATACCGTCACAAACACTTGAAGACGTACAGAAGAAAGTCAACAAAATGACAGAAGATGTAGCGAAACACGACTTCAAGTGAATGCAGACAAGACAGAGGTGATGAAAATAACCAACCCATCGACAACAAGAATCAATCACTATCAACGGAAGAAATTTGAAAGGTGAATTCTTTGGCTTATGTAGGGGCATCATCGTCTCAACTACAGACGGCACTGGGATGAAGGTGTCAAAGCCAACTTGAACGGTAAAAGTAAGACAGACCTTCAACACTCGGAAGTCATTCCAGGATTTCATCATGAGCTGACATTAGTTAGAGAACCATTGGAAAACCTGGGAGTACTGGACAGCTGCTTCGTCCTAGTTTGGGACTCTTCAGCAGTACGCACCCACTGGGATTCGAACCCAGAACCCGCCGGTTATAAGGCGAGCTCGTATACCATTAAGCCACTGGGACCCGATCCAATGGTCCTTGAATTCTAACTTCTGCCAATTCACGACATAGCGCGACCGCTAGCCAATGTCTTCGGCGAGTATTTGTCCTCACACCCGACCAGCTGCACCCTACTGGTCACGACTTCCCACTGGAACCCAGGTGCGTCGATGGCACAGTGGTTAGGACTCTCGTCGACCATGCACATGGTCCGGGGTTCGAGCCCACGCCGACGCACAGCTGATATCTATGGTCGGCCTGCGAATTTTGGGCTACCGATATCCACGCTGAAAATTCCATACTTGTACCAAAAATACGGTGTGGAATCAAGCTGTAATCAAAATCAAAATAAAAAATAACTACCTACCTGAATAGGGCCAGTCGCCAGTGAGCATCTCATTGGTATTCAAGTGCTGGTTTGTAGGGATTTGATTGGTTTCAGGATTTCATCATGAGCTGACATTAGTAACCGGAATGTCCTGGGTTCGAATCCCGGTGGGTGCGTGCTGCTGAAGAGTCTCAAACTAGTACGAAACAGTTGTCCAGTACTCCCAGGTTTTCCAATGGTTCTCTGACTAATGTCAGCTCATGATGAAATCCTGAAACCAACCAAATCCCTAGAAACCAACACTTGAATACTCTGAAGTTAGCTTGGAAATCTCCTGCTCCCAGCATGAGGAACAAAATTTGGATTTTCAATACCAGTTTAAAGTTAGTCAGTTCTTAAATAAGGTCAAGTAACTTAGCGCCAGATTCATAAAAAGCATTTATAACAGGCTACTCGGGACCTTTACCTGCAGCTGCCACCGCTAGCACCATACTGAAGATCAAGTGGTCAGTCGGAAGTAATCAGCAACAAGAATCTCTGGGAACTAACCAAACACGAACCTATCGCTCAACAAATATTCAGAAGGAAAGCCAAGATGGATCAGACAGATGCTGAGGGGACCTTTGGGTGACAACACGCGTTAGGCCATCGTCCAAGTGGAACCCGAATATTGTAAGACGAAGGGCGCGTCTATGTACGAGTGACGTGAAGGAGATGAGAAGTTGTGTGGGATTGTGGGTCCAGATACAGACGATATCAAAGAATAGGATAAAGTGGAAGAACAACAGAGTTTTATTGAATATGGTAAAGTCACAAAGAGTGAATGCGTCTGAGCCAGTCATATCGCCAATTGTCTTCAGCCGTCATTGGTTCTTACTGTTCCGAGGACCTCGACCAATGAGGAAGTTTACACCTCCCTGTGTGGCTGGCTGGCTTGCTGGCTTGAACTAGCTGTTATGGATTTCATTGACTGATGAAGTCATGTTTTGGTTAGGTCACCACGTGCTAGCTCTTTTCCAACGTGATCCATCCTGTGTTAGTCAGCTAGCGTTGCCCATCGACGAAGACGATGGATGGCTAGGCATGCGTAACACATATCCGAATCATATCAATCGATGTAACCTCATAACCTCGTCAGTAGATTTTTCCTCCTACCTACCTAACACTCAACGGATGCCTCACCTTAATATCACTGACTCTATTATACTGGCTAACACGAGAGATAGAAATCACACACCTAGGCCAGGCGTTTCATTCCCTTCCACTTTCAATGGTAGTCACTTTTCACAACCATGAAGTAGGACGGAGCGAACCGGAGCGTCCTCTGATCAATATTCAGACAGATATCAGGTCTACTCTTAAGGCATGGTGTAAGCTGGAAAGTGTCGAATGATTCTTCTGTGTCCATGCTGAGTTTTCCCTTAAATAAACAAAACGTGAGTTTCACGAACAGAATCAAGTTTTTAAAGAACCACTGCAAACTGAGAAGCTGTTCCTCACCCCACCCCCTAGCCCGAGTCGGCGACTCTTCAACAGTACTCTCCCATAACCTTATGACTAATGCCGCCTAACTTATGTTCGTTAGTGATGAAAAATGCCCCCCTCCCACTCCACAAAATCCCAATACTTAAACACAAACAAATTACTCGAAGGTATTATAATAGGCGCCAGTGACAAGTACAAGGCATTTAAAATCAATAAAGGGAGTGAAATAAAACAGAAAATAAAGAAAAAAACAAATCATGAACCAACCCTTCTTGAATTGACTGGTCTTCGACGTCTAATATTTAATGGCATAACTAATTCATCAGTATTACTCTCCGAATATATATCAGGAAATGTTGATTCACAATTCATTCCGCCTTCTTTATTATGAATTGTCGTAGTAGTGGACGGGAAAGCTGAAGAGAATGACGGAGATTGGGTTGGAAGTGTTTTACCTAGACTATGCATAAAAGAATCCGTTGTCGGCATACGATGATTATAATAATAATCCATAAATGGTTGATTTGGCACCCCTGTAGACTGTTGCTGTCTCTGTCTGATGTAATCATTTTCAAACTCTGGAGGATAATTAATTCCGCACTGGGTATAACGTCTTCTATCCATAGGTCGAATTCTTGACATATGTCCCGTCGTTGATTTATCCAGAGACATAGTTCCTAGACGTACTTCACTTCTGTTGACATTCGAGTTTTCCAAATTAGGCATTACTTGATGTCGTGATAGAGAATCTGACCTCCGAGGAATCAGAGGTTGTTGATACTGATAGTATGAAGGTAAAGCGGACTTCTGCAGGAAGTAATTACCTCTATTATTCATTACTGTCTCATCCATCTGACTACCTTGTTGATTCAACATCCCAACGGACTTCAGCTGATCTAAAGATTGTAGACTTACAGCTGACTGCAGACGTAAATTACCCGCCATAGGATAAACTGGAGGTGAATAGACATTCGAATAAGTTCCATTGACGAGTTGATCAGACGGTGATATTCTATACTTTGAAAGATGATTAAAACTATTCTGCATTTGTTGTTGGCGTTGTTGTTGATGGTGGTGCTGTTGGCGTTGTGGAGCTGGCAATGATGACCGTTGAAATTGATGCCACTCCTGATTCGGGATCATATCACCTTTACTATTGCATCCAGTAGAATGATTCATTCTTGTCACCATCATTGGAGTTGATGGACACTGAGGTGGATTCATACTTTGTGTACAAGCAGGAAACAGTAGTTTTCGACATCTTGGTGGTGACAGTGTATTGTAAGTCCCTGGCAGTGTTGACACTTCTGAAGACAGAGGTATACAACCGTCTTTAAAACGTCGTTTAGAAATATATTGAAATTGACTCGGTTGTCTTGTCGGTGTTTGTGATGGTGGAGATATTTCTGATGAGGGTGTTAGACGAAGAGGAATTTCCTCTCTATTCTCTTTCTCTCTCTCCTCGTCTTCTTTTGTTGTCTGCTGATAATTATCAGCGAATTGAGGAGGAGGTGGAGGTAATGTTGGCGGTGGGGTTATTGATTTTGAAGAACACTGAGAATTGTTATTGTTATTAGTAATAGTAGTGTTGTCAATCGGATATAGCAGTTGATTCCGACTGCAAGGATTATGACTTGCACTACGTCGACGTGGCATTACTCCCACCGTCTTTGTTGCAGTGATTTGAGCATAGTTTGAAGACATATATGACGGTAGGATGACAATATTGTCATTTAATTTTGTAGTAGTCATTCTCCTACTACTGATATTATCACTGTTAGTAGTAGTATTTAATGCTTGAGTATTAGTAGTAGTGGTTGCCGATGGTAGACTAGAGTTAACTCCCCAGACAAGTGAACGACGACGAACACGAGGATCCAATGGTTCAGTGGATACAGAAGTTAGTGAATAAAAATTCGGATATAGAGCATCCATCAGTGAAAAGAGAAGTCACATAGGCTGACACACTCACACTCACGTACACGCCCACGTACGTACTCTCTACTCTTGAGATCGACTAATCCAAGGAGTGCAAATATTCCACTTGTGAAATTCGATTGTTCATCGTCCTCTTTTTGTTGTTGTTGTTGTTTTTTTGTAGAGTATTCAATCGTCTGATTGATATTCGAAAAAAACTAAGGTATTATGATGGAATAGTTGCCTTTTCTTTTCCTCCTAGCTGGATAGATAGATAGATGAATGACAGACACATGCCTGTGTCGGCGTTTACATTTTCTTCGGCACTTTTCCGTCTGTCTGTCTATCTATTTATCTGTGTGTCGCCGTGTGTGCGTGCGTGTAACATTTCTGTTATTGGTGTAATACCCTTGTAATCACAACTACATTTTTTTTTAGTTTAAGTATTTCTAAAAAGATGCCTCTACCGACTGATAGGGTTTATTTCCATCTATACCTCCCCCCCGCGCGTACCGCCCACTCACCCACCCACGCACCCACGCACGCATACATACATAGAAACACAGACAGATGTAGACATTCATTTATCGCAATTGTATTCCCAATTTAGTCGTGTATTCCAACACTATGGTGTACAGACAGTCGTTGATGTACGCCACATACAGACACACAAACACCGACACACACCTGTGCAAAAATCGGATGGTTAAGTTCGCTGTATGGATTCTTTTCCACCCAGTGAGTGTAATTCAGATAGTGGAAGAGATTGTTTTTTGTACAGAAACAATCAGGAAAGTGTAGTGATAACGGTGAAAATGATGCAAATTTGAAGTTTAAAAAAAAACAACTGTCTCAGGATGTCTGTTGTGTGTGTGTATGTATGTCTGCCGGTGTACGTGTGTGCGTGCGTGTCTTCCATAGGTTGATATGTAAGACGTACACATATGCGCATTCTGGGTAGTTAATACTATTGTTGGCTTTCTGTATAATATTTATTTATGTATGTTGTAATTGTAACAATATTTACGTAATACATACATTACGTTATCGATTAATTTTAGTTTTTTCTAGTGTCTTTAACATCCCACATATTCGGACAAAAAATATTTTGGCCTTGGTGAGAAAAAAAACACCAAAACAGAGATGAACTGATTCTATCCCTGGATGAATAGATAGATCACAGATGGGTTCTTATTTCCTGGGGAGAAAGCAGTACACTGCATGTGTCAGGGGTAGTCGTACACTTCGTTGCTTACTGAGGCTGTCCCATCCCTAGAGGCGCTGTCCTTTCTCCTTTTCTGATTTATTTCTCCTTGTATAACTTGCTTCACTCTGATGAAATGAACTTTGTTAGGTATGCTGGTGATCTGACTATTTGAATACTTGCTGACTCTCAGCTACACTGTACTAAGATGAACAGCTTTCTATCAGGAGTCAGCAAGTGGTCGTTCTCTAATGGTCTTAAACTAAATCCTTCCAAAAGTCACACTGCTAATTTCAGTTTTAGATGCGAAAGGAGGTTAAATGAAGCTGTTAATTCCTATGACTGTTGTAAAGTTGATGATATTGATATAGAAATCAAGTCTGACATTACCAACTATCTTGGATTAATTTTTTCTACTGACCTGTCCTGGTTCCCCCACTTCTTAGCGATTTCTAGTGAGGTATTCTGTCTGACATTTTACATTAAGAAGTCAAGGCACTCAGGCATAACTCAACCAGCTCCTTCTCTTACAGTTCGTTAACTCTTATATTTTACTTATTCTTCTTTATTGTTCACCTTTACTTATTCTTGCCTGGGTTGCTTAAAAAAGACCATATCGTACTTTGTAGAACTCTAAAGACTGTCAGTAGAGGCCGAGTGGTGGTGTCGCATTGTGCCATATTGTTGACACTGTCATTGATAGGCACTCATTTTAGTGCAATAAATTTGCTAAAAGGATTTTGTCAGACTGTGAGCATCCGCTTTACCCACAGCTTTCACCTTGCACCTCCTCCTCCTCCTCAGGTAAAACACGAAGTCATTTCAGAAGACTTTACGCGCACACGTCTAAGTATAGATATTTCACGATAATATATTTGGTGGGGCGTATTTTATGTGATGAAAATAATGTGAGGTGCGAATTAACTAACTAGCTAAACTTCTTTTCACTAGTAAACAAACCATTTTCTCCACCCTTACACCAACAAGGCTTACTGTTATTAGTCTTTGTATATTGGTAGTCCTTCCAATTTTTTTGAATAATTGTAACCATCATTTAAGCTGTGTTATTAGTTAGTGTTATATTTTCTATTCTGTATGAAGAGAATATTAGAACATTCAGTACTCTATAATATGCTAAAATTTCTATACCATATGGACAATATTGTCTGGAACAAGCCTACTGTTATTATTACTATTATTATAGTTATTATTCTCATTTTATACTACTACTTCGCTACTACCAAGGGGTGCAATCGACAATTATACATCTCATCCAATAGTTATACGACAATGCTGCATGCCGCCATGTAATCCACAACGGGAAACTTACGGAAGCCTTCAAAGTGAGGATGGTGGTAGATTGGACAGACAACGAGCGATGTGGAAACGGGCATAAAATGGACTCATACAAAAAACTTGGAGGATCTGGACTTCACCGATGCGGTATATATGTCCAATTTCTCACAAACTGGAAGATATGCGAGTAATGAAAAGCAACAAGCTGGCAGAAGAAGCATCAAAGATAGTACTTCACGTCAGGTGAACATAGAGAAAACAGAGGTAGGTGATGAAGATTTCTGGCAAACAGCAACAACAACAACAACAGACAACAATCAGCACAAATGGGAGGAACCTGAAAGAAACAACCTACTTTACCTAACTACCTACCTAGGAAGCATCGTTTCAACTACATGCGGACGGAACTGACGAGGATATCAAAGCCAGAGTCGGAAAAGCAAGACAAGCTTTCATTACTCTCAAGTCTGTGTGGAGGTCAACACTCAGCACTCAGCATCAAAAATAAGACCCGGATTTTCAACTCCAATGTGAAGTCAGTGTTACTATACGGATCAGACTTAACGCCACATCATAAAGAGCACATCAAACAATCAACAGACCTTCATTACCAGCTGTCTTCGTTCAAGATCAGATGGCCATAAAAGATCGGCGACATAGATCTCTGGGAGCGAACCAAACAGGAACCGATTATGAAACAAATATGCAGGAAGAAATGGAGGTGGATTGGCTGGCCATACTCTGGGGAAACCAACCATCAAGTGACACCACTAGACAAGCCATTGCTCAAGTGGAAATCGGAAGGTAAGCGACAGGTTGGTCATCCAAGAGTGACTTGGAGGAGATCCTGTGAAGAGGAGATGAAAGCATGGGGGCAAACTTGGAGTGGGGTGAAAAAGTTGGCAGAAAACCTAACGCAATGGAGACGCGCAGCTGAAGTCCTATGTTCCTCTAGGAACTAAAGGATATGATAATAATGATTAATAATAATATACTTTGAATATTTTTGACATTATTACTACTGTAAATGTGGAAACATTCCTGTGGCTAATTTTATTTATATTTTGAACAAATTACAGGCAATATTGTGACAAGTGCTGAAAATTCCACGTTGGATTATAAATACTGGTTTTAGAATAAAGCAAATTATTATTATTATTACTATACGGATGAAGATTTGAAGCTGGTGACGAAACAAATGCTCAGGGTGTGCCTAACTCTGAGTGATTCTTCCACATGTCTCAGAAAATGCGTGTGACAAGACGAAGTGAATTTCGACAGGGAATTTTGTACACAGAAGGGCATCAGTTCAAGTTGCCACACTCCGTGTAGCGGAAAAAATTAGATTTAAGAGGGGAATGTGTGTGTGTGTGAGAGAGAAAAAAAGTAGTAACATGCCAAAATATGAGGGTGTAGTGAATATAGAAGGTCAAAAAGAGTGAATACACTCGGACCAGTGACAACGATTTTCAGCCATACTTGTGTTAGTCTCCAGACACAAGTTCTTACAATTCCAAGGACTTCAACCTGTGAGTGGATACCAACTCATATGGCTAAAATGACTGTCAAAGATTCCATGGACTGACTGTTGTCCGACTCTAACACTTTTCCAGCCTAATCGGATGTCGGATAACAGTGCACGTTGTGAAAGGTGATGGCTTAGGATGTGCAACACATTTCCAACCGTCCACAATCACAATGATTGACTTACTCTCATTATCTAACGCTCTATGCCTAACGTTAATGTTACTCCTCATACCAAACCACTTAACACGGGAGATTATATGCAAACCTTTTTGGTCGAGGATAGCTAACCAGCCATTATATTTCTTCCATTTTCAATGGCCTTGTGTGTGTGTGTGTGTGTGTGACAAGAGCGACCATAGGATCAGTCAGATTTGAACAAATGCAGCAACCTAAAAAATTTATTGTAGTCAATTTAAAATTCTCAGTGACTGATCTCTATACTGGATCAAAATGCTGCGTTTCTGTTCACACGCTGGCTCCTAGAATGGACGATTGAAAGATTTCTTTAGATAGATATGATGTTAGTTGGCTGGTGGTAACTAATACCGGAAGTAGGGAGCGCATTTCGTCCTCTTTGGAGCTCAAAGCGTTTGAAAAGGTGGATGCTGAGGAGGCACGTAGCTAACGAATCATAAATAGGATAAGACATGCATCCTGTGGCTGGCTTAAACTAACTGTTGTATATTTCATTGACTGATGAGGCCATGTTTTGGTTTGACCATCACTGGCTAATTCTTCTTTAACCTGAACTTATGGCAGCTAACATTGGCCGTCACTCGAGGAAGGCGATGGCTAGATATACATATGTAACACATGTCCTAACCATCTCAGTCGATGTAGCTTCACAGCCTCGTCGATTGGTTTCCCCTCCTTATCTAGAAGTCGAAGCCTAACCTCAATATTGCTCACCCTATTATACCACTACACACAGAAGACAGAACACATGCACATATGATCAAAGACAGCTAGCCATAAAAGAGGACGGAGAGAACTGGTGCTATTCAGTGCAGACACCCTTTGGTCGATAGCCAACCGGATATCATTTCTGCACCAGGGATGGCGTAACTTGGAAAATACTAAACGAGCCTTCTGTATCCGTGCTGAGATTTCGTTACCAATCAAATTGTTAGGGCTGATGTAACTGCCCAAGTGGTCAACACGCCCTACCACTTCGCTCTCTCTATCTCTAAGCTAGGAGTAAATGCAGTCCAATCCTGTAGCATCACCATCTTACATTTGACAGGAGCGAATCGAATGCCAAATATTCGAAGATTCCTGCTCCTAAAGATGTTCAGAAGACTCTACATTGTCAGCGTCTTCACCTGCATATTCTAAGTCAATGAGATTATTCGTTGGTAGTAACAAGTCAATCCCTGAGTCGCTGAAGTCAGCAGTTACAGTTAATTCCATTAGTACATCTATAA